TTTTTTTTTTTTTTTGAGGTTTTATTCCAGAGGGGCTCAGTTCTTCTCAGCAGCTGGCCTCATGGTGGCCAGCACATTGCTCAGCTCCTCATACTTCTTCTTGGTGCAGATGTGTGTTCCCACCCTTTTCTTGATGAACTTGAGGGGGTATTTGTCCTTGGAAACCTTGAGCAGCTCCATGGCGTGCTACTGGTAGGGAGTGAAGCCACACACCTCCAGGATCATGTCCTGCACAAAATTGGTATGTTTGGTAAGGCATCCACAATGACGGCTGTGCCTCAGTTTGTTCACATTCTTAGTCACCTTGTGGCCCTTGATGAGGTCCATGGCCATGGGACAGTGGAGGATCATGGCTACTGTTCTTCAGTGGTTGCTGTGACAGAAGGTTGGCTCACTTTTTAATAAGGACGTTTTCTTGCTATGAAGTTGGCTGAGTTCCTTATTTGGGGATATTTATCTCAGAAGTGCGATTTGTCAGTGTTTGCTCTCATCCTATGGGTTATCTCTTCATGCCATTTGCTGTGTGAAAGCTTTAGATTCTGATGTAGTCCCACTTATTTTTGTATTTGTTGCATGTCATGTCCAAAAAATAACTTTCCTGGCCAATGTCAAAAACTTTGCCCATATGTTTTCTTCTAATCATTTTATGTTTCCAGTCTTTAATCCATTCAAAATTTGTTTTATGAGTTGAAAAAGTTCTGGGTTTAGATTGTAGCCTTGACTGCACAACAGTGTGAATATACTTTCTGTCCTGCAAATATACTTAAGGATTATTAAAATAGAAACCATTGTGTACACATTTTATCATGATTTTAAAAAAGAACAAGTAAAAAGAATTTAAGACTGATATTACAGTTTTATATTGTTTGGCCTATTTAATATATACTTTGTGTTTATCTTTGTTTTCAAATCTTATACCATTTAGTTCAAACTCTTCCAAGATTTCTCCTAATTCTAAAATAATGTCACTTTCTCTCTGGATCCCAAGAACCATTAAAGTCTGATTGAGTTTATCTGAAAATCATGTTCTGCCTGTTGCTTTGAAGATTTAAATATCTGTGCTTATAAATATTAATATTTGAATCTTATTTGAGGGAAATGGCAATGTCTACTTCTTAGTATCACCCGGAAAGACAGACTTCAGAGTGTGTACATGGGTTTCATTAATAAGACATTTCTTACCATTCTATTTTTTCTCATTTTACTGCCTTGCTCACGTGAGAGGCCCTGGACCTGTCTTTTTTGGGCTCCTTCGGTTTGCTAGAGATTCAGTAGCGTGATGTGGCTCTGGACTTTCTCCCAAGGCCAAGGGCGACCAGGTGGGTATGGAATGAAGACCACTGGGGAATCAGTGAACCACTAAGCACTAGCAAGCACGTGGCTTCACGCTAAGAGAGACGATGTGTGTGTTAGATGACCTGGCTGGCCTGGCTTGTACCCATGCTGCCTCTCATGCCCTGGCTTAGGATGGCATCAACACTGCGCCCACTCCCCCGTCTGCATCAGCCTGAGTTACACACAGCAGGCCAAAGAATGGACCATTCATCTGCTGGCTTTCTGAAAGATTGCCTTTATTAGATGCTGATGTTCACCACAGTTACTCCCGTAGCAGAAAATACTATGAAAGTGTTAACCCAGAGTACAACCAGCTCCAGTCCCAAGGCCACACTCTTTCTCCCTGCATTCTTTATGGAAAGGCTGAGCCAGAATGGTGCACCTGACAGCCTTAATATAACTTTTACATGCCCCCTTGCCCCTCTGTACATCACTGTTCTTAGGCACAGAGAGGAGGAGGGGATGTGGCTACTTCTTTTTGAACGACATTCTGTCAAGGGATGTCGGATGTAGCAGAAGATGCTGCTGCACTGGATTCTTTGGCGGGTTCTACTATGGGTGTCTGTTGGTGTATTTCAGGATGGGGAGTCTCTATGAAGGGGCTTGTTCATATATTTGCCTCCATGGGGGGTACTGTGGTCTGAGGAGCACCTTCCCCAGCAGCCTCCCAGTTGGGTACTTGGCCAACTTCAACGTCCTTGGGGGGCACCACTGGCACAACAGTGCTCTGAGTGATCTTGACGGACCCTGGTTTCTTCTTGAGGGGTTCTTCAAAATGGGGAGCATCCGAGTATTTCTTTTTGCTACCAGCTAAACCTGGAGTCCAGGGTGTTTCTCCAACTCGGGTAGGAGGCTTTGTAGGTAAGTGTGAAGCTTCTTGATTCTCGTTTTGTTCCAGCGAAACACTTACACTTCGAGAACCTGTGGGACAGAAAAGACACAAATACAGATTCCTCAGACAGCCTTTCTCCAATCCTGCTGGTCATGTGTGAAATCCAAGCGGTCTCAAGTGTTAGCGCCTCACTTACTTTCTCAGGTTCTTTCTGGTGTGCTCTCCCCACCTCCCTCAGACTTCATTATGGCCCTACAATTCAAACAGGCTGCGTGGCTTAGGAGTCCCAGTGTAAGGGCTCACCACTGAATCCTCAGAAGGCAAAAATTGACATTTGCTTAAAGGTCATGTATTTCACAGCCATTGGTTACAAATCAGTTAAATGAACTGATAAAAATGGACACATCCTAATTAGATTGCGACCTCATGAACACAGAGACTTTGTCTCACTTGCTTCTGTGTACATACCACTCAAGCGTGTCTGCCACGTAGTAAGAGCTGAATAAATAATCATCTGGCTGATAGAAAAACAGACAGTAGACGCTTCTAGTAAGGGAGCTAGGAAATTGGAACTAAGGCTCTATTAAAGAATTAAAAATTGGATGATAAAAATCAGAAAACATCTTAAAATTATCAAAGAGTTTACAGTATGGTGAGGAACAGAGGGGCTAAAAATTCAGAAAAAGATGAGAATCCAAAGAAGCCCAAAACCCAAGTTACTTTTTTGCACAGAATAGTTCAGTGTGGAAGAAGTAGCAGCACACATAACTTCATTTTTTGGTCAACTTCACAGGAGGAAAAGTGACTTTTATTGGACTTGAACTTAATATGTATGAAGGTCAACTTACTAACAGCTAACATCTTTATGATATTAGGTTTCATAATTTATGAACATGACATATTACTCCAATTATCTGAGACTTATTTCTCAGTAAAGTTTTATGGCTTTCAGTAACCATAGCTCTTCTTTTGAGAGGGCTTTTTTGATTAGTCTGTTTAGTCTTTTTTTTTTTTTCAGAACCGGGGATTGAACTCAGGCCCTTGTGCTTGCCAGAGAAGTGCTTATTCCACTGAGCCATCTCCCCGGCCCCCGTTTAGTCTTATAACTACCCTTGCTCGCTTTGGCCTACCATTTGATGAGATGTCTTTTTTTTAATCTCACAACTTTCAATATGTTTGTCTTGGGTTCTAAAGCAAGGTTCTTAGAGCTGGTATATACAGAAGTTAGATCATGCCTTTAAATCCACTTGGCCAATTTCTATCTTTAGGAGTTTTATCCCTTACATTTAGAGTAATGACTAATAAGGAGGGAACTCTGTCATTTGGGTATTTGTTTTATATATGTCTTATAGAAAAATCTGATCCACTTTAGGTGATAGAAATAGACTCAGAAATAGAGGTGATAGCACTAAGAAAGAAGGCTATTAAAGTGGCTACTAAAAAGAAATAAAGTGGCTACTGTAATTACGTTCATATATTTAAAGAAAACATGAACACAAGGGAGGAAATGGGAGGTATAGAAAGAACCAAATGGAACTTCTAGAGATGAAAAATGTAATACTTGAAATTAAAATTTCACCAGTTAAAAATTAACACCAGGTGAGATATTCTGGAAGAAAATATCGATGAAGTTGAAAATGTAACGTGGAAGTCAGAATCTGTAACAACCCCCGAGTGCCCCGCCTCTGATTCATACCCCTCCGTGGCTAGTCCCCCTTTCCTTGGTTGGGGTGAGAGCTGTGGATACGTTGGGCTAGGCTACGTTATATGGCAAAGGCAATGGAAGAGCTGTCCCCAGGATTATACTGTGTACACTCCATCACAGCAGACTAGGGAGGCAGCCTTGTTGGGCTGCTTCTGAAGAAGTATGCTGCCATGGACCATGCAGCTAGGTGGTAAGGACTGCTTTAGTGACAAGAGCAACACTCTGCCAAATAGCTATCAGGAAAACAGGGATGACTTTAGTCTTACCGCTGTCAGAAGCTGAATTCTGGCAACGGTGAGCTTGAAGAGGCCCCTGCCCTCCTCTGATTACTACTCTGATTGCAGCTTGGCAAAAGATCTCTAGGTAGAGGACCCATCTAATCTATGACTGTGAGATGATAAACTTGTGTTGTTTTAATGTTCAAAGTAATTTTTACAAAGCAATAAAAGCTAATATATATAGTAATGGAATTGTCCAAAATGAGGCAAAAATTAAATAGGCTAAAATAAAAGTCAACAGAGTCTTAGTAATCTAAGGACTGCTGGTAATATATTAATTTCTATGTAATTGGAATTCCAAAAACAGTGAGGAGGGGTAAAGGCAGAGAATTTTTTTTTACATATTGAAAATGTGTCAGGGCTGTGAGATAGCTCAGGGCTAAGTGCCTGCTTAGGCAAGTGCAGGGATCTTGTTTCAATCCCTGGCACCACATGCCATGCTGGCCCCACCCCCAGGCGCACTGAAGTTGGCCACTGAGTTTGGGTGCTGTGGCGCAGTCTGTAAACCCAGCAATGGGTAGGCTGAAAAGGAGGTTCGCTATGAGTCTGAGTCCGAGCTGCATAGTGAGACCCTGTACCAAATACCAAATTAAGAAAAAGAAAAGAAAAGAAAAAAAGAAAAGAAAAGAAAGAAAGAAGGAAATAAATGTGTCCAATTTGATGAAATTATGCTTTCACAGGTCTGAGAATTTCAGCAAACCCCAAACAGGACACAAGTGTATGTACACGTGTAAAGATGTGTGCAGGTACACACATGTGCAAGGCTCCTGAGGTAAATCATAACCAAATTACAAAAACCCAGTAACGAAAGGAACAATATTCAAAAACAGGCAGAGGAAGGCAGAGATTACATGAGAACAAAGATAAGAAAACTGAAGTTTCATAGGGCACTACCCAAAGCAGAAGACAGAGGCCTTGTGTGCTTTCTGATGGCAGACAGGGCATCACTAGGTACAGCAGGCCATGCCCATCGTGGAGGAGGCTGTGGCGGAAGATGTGGCCCTCTGTACTTCATGTATACGATTATATTCCCTTCAACCTGGAGGGAACTGGGCCCTGGCTCTTCCTGAGATCCTGGCTACTGTCCGATCTTCCTTGTGCTTCTCTGATTCTAAACTTGTTTCTCTACCTTCTAGGAATCTCTTGGAGATTTCCTCAATAGTCTTTCTGTACATTTTCTTTCTGCTTAAATACAGTTTCTGTTACCATGCAACTAGTAATGCTTAAAAACTCTACTTTCCTATGACCATGTCAATATGGCAGGGTAGAGTCAAGTCAACTTAGTACTTTTTCCAAGGCATGATAGCTACCTCCATTTTGGTTTATACAGTTCTTAAAATTTCCCTTCAAAACCTCTTTCCTGTCCATACTTTTCTTACCACTTCTATGCTTGAATTGTTTCTTGGCTGGGTTATTATTATAGGCTGAATTCTCTTCCTAACCACCAAATTCATGTTAAAATCTTCACAGTCAAGGTGACTATATTTGGAAATACTGCTATCAAATTGATATCAAGGTAGGTGGAATATGGCCTTCAGACTTTTAACACAGCCTAAGTAGAGAGATCTTAAAATTCCTGGAGATTTCCCTGGCACTTCTCAATTTTGGTAAACTTGGCTTAAACCTTTGGTTTTACAGAACATAAAAGACCACCACATTTCATTTAATTTACTCAAATTTCTAAACTTACTTTTTTCACAGTGCAGTGGATCCATTCTTGAATTTAAGTGATATGTCATCAGTCCAACCTTCTGCTAGCTGGTACATAAAATCTTGGCATCTTCACTATCTCCCATAAGAAATGAAATTAACTCATGATCTTGTAACTTTCGTGAGGCTCTGGGGCCCATGGAAGGCAATGACAATCTGTGCTTCACAGGCTCCCCTGCCTACTGGGCTTTCCTTTTGACACTGCACTGGCTTCTAAGAGGAATAACTCACTGTGTAGACTATCCTCACAACCTTCTGAGAATTAAATTCTAATTTTCTTTTCCTTTTCTGGACCTATCTTACTTCCTTAGCCCCTGAGTTTTTCTATTGAATAAGCACTTTTCCAACTCTTCACCCAGAAATCTAACATACATTCTCTTGTCTGAAATCATTTGCCACCTCCTGATTGCCTGTATGCGGAGACTAGACTCAGTGGCATTTGGTATCTCGGCAGCCTTCTCTCCATTCCCCTGTAGATATCACCCACAAGCAGAGTCTCTAAGCACATTTAGCCCTCATGGGCATGGTCACTGCTTTGTCATGGCCCTTGGTGCCTGGTCCAATGTGTCAACTGCTACCTTTGCCTGTATTTTTAAACTGGTCTTTGTGGACTGGCTCTCCTATCTCTTGGACCAACATTTACAGTTTTCAATTAACTTCAACCTGTCTCAGAGTGCCTGACACAAGGTAGGTACTCAATAAAAATGTGATTGATGATGTAGTGTGTGGCTAAAGGGAATCACATGGAGAGAAAACATTCTTTCAGGCTTTCTTGGAGAGCAAATTGGTCAAGCAATGGCCATGACTCATCCACATGGCTGACACTGACAAAGGATCTACAAAGTGTGGTACAGGGTTTCCGGATAAGTCCTGAGAGGACTTGACTGACCGTGTCAGATACAAAAGTTACATTTTTTGTTATATATATCTTGCTTTATCTTGGTCTTAACCATCCAGCAGAAAAGTGTAGAAATGAGGTATGAAAAGTGAAGCCATGTTAATATGCTGAGCTGTGGAAAGCTCAAGTCATCATATTTGGACATTGCCAGTCCCGTGGATAACCTACTACTATTGTGGAGCACTGGACTATATTGGAATATTTTGCTGAATTCATGCACCTACAATATTTGGATGGCAATGGAATACCCATCTCTGACAAAACTGAACAAAAAAAGGTGATATAAATGAAGGACAATTTTGTATTTGTATATACAAAATAGGATAGATATATAGCTACTTTCTCTTAATTCAATAAGAATAAAGATTTGTACTAATAGTGTTTGGACAGGATATCATGTCTGCATCTTGTGCTATGAATGACTACTACAAAGACAACAATATGCAATGTATTAATTGTTCTAACTCTCCTACCAACCTGTTTTGAAGCTGTCACATTGCAATTTTTTTCTCAATAAAATTAATTTAAAAAATTATGTGATATGTGAACAAATAAACTCCCATGCTCAAAATCTCCCTAGGAGTCTATTGTTTAGATGATGCCACCCAAAGTCTAAACTCTGGTGTAAGGGACCCTCCCGAAGCTCTGGTAGCTCAGAGAGTCATCCCCTGGTATCCTCAGGAGAGTGCCGACTGCACTCTCAAGGTCACCAGACCCTGCAAGAAAGCCTACATACTTTCTGCCGTCTACCTTACCTCTAGAATGCTTGTAATACCTAATACAATGAAAACGCTATGCAAATAGCTGTTAAACTTTGTTGTCTAGGAAATACACTTGTGGGCCTGCTACATAATGTTTTAGTCAGTCATGGATTGTCTACATGGCAGTGACCCCATAAGGTAACAAAGCTGGAAAGCTCCTGATATCTAGTGACATCATAGCCGTCATAATATCAGAGCACAATATATGCTTCTGGTGATGCTGGTATAGATGAACCTACTGTACTACTAGTTGTACAATTATGTACAATACATATACTTGGTGATAATAATAAATGTCACTGGTTTATGTATTTACTGTACTGTATTTTTTATCATTGTTTCAGAATGTACTCTACCTACGTATAAAAAGTTTACTGAAAATAGCCTGCTGTGTTATACCAGCAGAAAACTCATATCATATTCATATCTCTATTGCATAATATTCTCTTGTGCTTGATTTAATATTATATTGTTTTGTTTACCATGGTCCTAGAAGCAACAGGCTCTCTCTCTCTCTCTCTCTCTCTCGCTCTCGCTCTCGCTCTCGCTCTCGCTCTCGCTCTCGCTCTCGCTCTCTGTTTGTCACACACACACACACACACACACACACACACACACACACACACCCCAAACACACACTCCTTTGCTCTATGGTGTATGTACACACCAGACAGGTATAAGTTTGTGTTAAATACATAATCCATAATGTTTGCATGACTTCAGAATGTATCCTCACTGTTAAGTGAACAGAGGTCTAATGACAAAATACAAGTCTGCACTTGTTCAGTGCAGACATGACCATTACAGGCCTGACTACTTAATGACAGGGGCAATGACATAACTGTCTTTAATCAAGCATTTTCCACTGGTGCTTGGCTGAATCCTTGGTGGGCCCCACGGATGCAAGGAGGACTGACTCTACAGTGCTTCCTGACTTCTCCCTGGCCCTACACCACACATTTCCCACATGTCCTCAGCTCTCAACAAAGATATGAAAAGCAAACCCTATCTTTTGAATACAGGGGGAAAAAAAGGGCAAGGCCTCTGACTTTACCTTTGAAGTTTCTGGAGGCTTCAATCAACTTCTCGGCTTTGAGCTCTTTCCACCTAGAAAGAAGCAGGCCAGCCATGAACTCACAGGCCTTTTCTCTAAAAAAATAAGCTGCTGGCAGAAAAGAAACTTTATCAAGGAAAGGAAAAGGAGAGAAAATGATTTTTAAAAGGATAAAAGGGAAACAAAGCTTTGTTAATAGGGAGGGAAAGAGTGGTTTAAGAGAGAAGCAGAAATTGGGGGAAAAAGAATCAAAGTATCATCATGTATGGGTACAACTTCCTTATGATGAATATGATCCTTTACATATATTTAAAATATACCAATAAACTTAATAAACAAGAAACTTTATCCAGTCAGAGTCTCCTTGAGCAGAGGGCCTGTGCTTGCTTCTTCAAAGGATAAGTCATGAATCAAGAACTGATAATCCTCTTCTAACTAAAGAACCATAGTTTCCTCTTTCTCCATGATTTTCCTTCCCTCTTCTACCTTCATTACAACTTTCAATTCTGTAGCATTTGCCCTGCAAGGATAGCAAAATTCAATTTCTTGACAAATATAAAGTATATGGCCAGAAGGCACAGCGATTTTCTTAAAGTCACTCAGCAACTAAGGGGCATGATTTTCTTAAAGTCACTCAGCAACTAAGAGACTGCATGAGATTTTGGGGGGACAACTAGACACAAACCGCATTATTTGCTCTACAGTCCAGGCTGCCTCACACGCGCGTGGGCTCACCAGGGAGTGAAACATTCCGTACTCGGTTGGTAGTGCTGAAACCTACCCTTCCTGGTCATGAACTTGCTCTCTGCCCAGTACTTTCTGTCACTTTGCAACAGGTGGGAAAAATGAGGCCCTTGTTATGGTCAACCTGCAGGCCCTGTCTCCTAGCTATTCTACAGTGAATCTATCCTAAGAGACTCAATTCAGCTTCAGGGACACTCACTGCCCTGAAAATATTCGCCTGTGTTGCGAAGGAAGACAAGGTGTGAGGGGTTGCAGGCAGCACAAGAAGAAGAGAGAGGTTCATGTTCTAACTCTTGTCTTTCCATATAGGGTGATAGAATGTAACTGGTTTTCCCCTCAAATTTCCATAAGAACATAGTTGTTACTTTTATTTTTGGAAAAGCTTCATTTAGCATGACAGATACATACTTACCAGTGATAACAAAATATAGCAGTGATGACAACTGCAGAAACAATATCCATAAAGAGCCATATGGCCATATAGAACTGGGGAGTCTGCAAAACATAACCACGGTTGAAGAACTTCATGATTGGCGGGCTTTGGGGTTATATGGACCAGGTCCCTCACTGTCTTCGTTAATTTTCTCTCATTGCTGGGACAAAATACCCAACACCCAGAATTAAGGAAGGAAAAGTTTATTTAGCTCATGGTTTGTGGAGGTTTCATTCCATACTCGGTTGGCTCCAAGGCAGAGTGGGACATGGAAGAGGGCAGCAGTCCATGGAGGTGGAAGGCAGCAAAGAGCAAAGGGAGGAGCAGCAGCTGTGGCAGCTAGCAGGCCTCCACCACCCCCACCTTATATCGTACCAGATTACCCAGCCCAGGACACGCATAGCGCTCACACCCATAATCCCCACACTGGATCATGAATTAATCACAAACTTTAGAAGCAGCCCTAGTGACTACATGAGACTTTGGGGGGACAACTAGACACAAACCATATTACCTGCTCTGTAGTGCAGGCTGCCTCACACCCGCATGGGCTCACCAGGGAGTGAAACACTCCACACCCTTATCTCCCTCAGTGTCAAGGCAGAAGTCTGAGGAAGTCTCAGAGAAGTCAAGCAACAAGTCAGTTCTGGCTACAGGGCCTTGAACTGATAGGGTTTCTCGACTTGTGTGCTCTACATTTTCATGGCAAAGCTTCTTACACCTGTCTCCACAGCCAAGTTCTTGTTTTTAATAATAAAGGTCCTGGGTCTATATATAGACCTAAGAGATCTCTGGGTTTTTGTTTTTGTTTTTTATTTTAGGGAAGGGCCTACAGGGTGTCCAGGGTCTCACTACTAGATCAGACTCATAGTGATCCACCTATTTACAGCCTCCCAAGAGCTGGGATTACAGGTGAGCACCACCACACCCAGTCCCACACCCTGGGGGCAGGGCCAGCATGGCAGGCCCAGGGATCGAACTCCTGGCCCCTGGGCCTGCTTACAGGTGCTTTAATCCACTGAGCTATTTGGCTGGCCCAAAATCACTGTTTTTAATAACTCCTGGAGGTGCTGCAGCAACTAGTCTGGGAACCAGCACCTGGGAAGCACTGCTCTGTACCTCCCTTCACATGAATGTGTTGAACCATAGTCACCTTTCCTTGCGCACCCAGCTCCGGCTCCTGCACCTGCTAATGAGTTTCCATAATCCCCTGGTTTGAGCTTTCCCTCCACTTTCACCTGCACTGCTCTTCCCATTTTGTGTAATACCACTGGGGCTTGTGATGGCTACGCTTTCACAGACCGCTCTCCATCCTATCCCAGGGGCCTTCTTTGGGCCGAATAATAACATGAATAATCATGCCAATGATAACAGCAATTAATGAGTGCTTCCTGGGTGCCAGGTATGTATTCTGAGGCCATCTTCACCAGTATGCAAGCATTTTCACCCCTCTAGGTGACTTTCATGTGTAATCCTCATGGCAGTCCTACTAGGTAAGTACAGTAGAAACTCAATCCCAATTTCCACTAACTGAGGCTGTTCATCCCTCTGGGAAGTACACTGTGCTTCAGTTCATGGACTGCTCCAGCTTGCCCAGTAGGGCAAGCTGACTGCTCACCAAGAATCAGCTGTCCTTCTTCCCAAATGTCTTAACCACAGGCTGATGGAATTTGTTACTGTAATTAGGCAACGCGATTAAATGTTGGTCAAATTTATAAAATATGAGTGAAAAGAAGTATGTTACTTTCAAGAAAACAAAGTCAAATGATTTTTAAGACTCAATGAAGACAAAATATGTCCTTAAACAATATAAACTGCAAAGGGCTGGCAAGAGAGCTTGGCGAACTAAGTGCCTGCTTAGGCAAATGCAGGGACTGGATTTGATCTGTGGTGCCACATGCTGTGCCAACCCCACTCTAGGGCATGCTGAGCTGGCCACTGAGACTGGGCATGGGGGCGCATGCCTGTAATCCCAGTGATAGGGAGACTGAAAACAGGAGGATCACTATGAGTCTGAACTGCGTAGTGAGACCCTGTACCAAATATATATATATAATCTGCAATTGGATTGCTGAAGCATGGAGAGATTGAGGATTATGATAGGGACACTATTAGTTCTAGGTGAATTCCCCATTCTGAGTGTTTCTCCAGTGACTTTACATTCTTGTTCCTTTTCTTTTCTCTTGTTCTTTTTAAAACATGGGTTTGCTATGCAGTTCAGGCTGGCCCTGAGCTCACTTCATAGCCAGGCTGGCCTCTTACTTGCAGCAATCCTCCTGCCTCAGCCTCCAAGTGCTGGGATTATAGGACTGCACCTCTACACCTGGTCTAGTTCCTTTGTAAAGAAACAAAAATTAAAAATCATAGGTATGTTTGGTTCATTTGGATGTTTAAATAAAGAAGCGAATATAAAACTCAATCAGCTAAAGTACACAAGAGGAAAAGATTTTGTTTGTCAAAAGGTGAAAGAATTTTACATTAAAATGTGTTGAGGTGTGTGTGTGTGTGTGTGTGTGTTATATTTGTACACTAAAATGACTACAGTATTCCTTCCAAACCTACATGCAGGCTCCTAAACAATGTGACTTGTGCCTCCCTCCCCATCAAAAGGGGACGTCTAGAGCCCTGTTATCTGGACTTGGATGTGTGGTTTTCCTCTGGCCAGGGGAAGATTATCAAACATGGGGAACACCTGAAAACCTGTGCATATCGGGCTTTGCCTTCTCCTGCTGGGGACTCACTGCCAACAGCAAACCCTCAGGCTGGCTTCCTTGAAGATGTGTGGCCACAGGAACCTCAGTCACCCAGGTGAGACTCCAATCAGTGAGGCTGTGCTACACATAGACTATTTAACCTACACTCACAGGCTTAGACCAGAGGAAGCACTTAGTCATCACACAGAACATACAAGATGCAACAAAATCAATTTAAGACACTAAGAGTTAGGTATCTTTTTTAAGCATTAAAAGCTACCTAATAGAGCATATCTTTTTAATGATTTATTCACCGTAGCTTTCTTAATTAACAGACCAATGGTTAGGCTATATTGCATTGGATGCAAGTGCTTGTATGATACTGTCATCTCCAACTTCAGAACAACAAAGCAGGCACAGACAGATGGGCTTTTAGTCCCGGGTTCGTATAGTGAGTGCACAATCTTAACTCCAGAGCGTGAGCTGTGTACAAAAGCCCTACGTCTCTAAACAAGAGGACAAAGTACACTGGTCCTTTAAAATAAGCCCAGGCTAGATGCAGAAGTTTCTTTTTAAACTTACATCCTTTTATGCTTTTTGAACTAATTTATTATCAGTTCAAGTACTGAAACAAAAAGAGTGCTTTCAGAAATAATATCATCATGTAAGTAAAGGTGTAAAGGTGTACTTCCCAAATTTAGAGGCTTTGCTAATGCAGGGAGACAGCACCATGGAGGGTGTGCTGATTTCTAAATTTAACATTTCCTTAATTGTATTTTATATAACAACTAACTTTGCTTTTGTAATCAATTATAAAAAAACAAAAACATTATAAAAATATATGGCATATACGCATTAAGGAAAGTTGTGTGGGGGTCAGACAGGTGGGAAGTGTTCCCCTGTACTGAGGATTGTGTCATCCAAGGCTCCCTTCATAGTTATTTCCAGAAAGGTGCTCAAGTCACCAAGTCAGCAACTCCATCTTTCCCGAGAGCACCCCCACAGTACGGGCCCTGAGACTGTGTGCCTGACCTTGATCGCAGGCCTCCTGCTCAACACCCTGCCCAGGTCAGAAACAGGCGAGCAAGAGCGGGAGTGTGAGGAGGGCGATGCAGCTCCCTCCCACTGCAGGCTTCTCGCCCTGTGACTTTCACTTTCAAAGGAACAAAATTGGACTGTTTTCTAGCTAGGTGTGGTGGCACGTAGTCCCAGCTTCTTGGGAGGCTAGACAGAAGAATCATTTGAGCCTAAGAGTTCAAGGTCAGCCCGGACAACATAAGGACAACAACGTGCCATATAACAACCGTTGTTGAGTTCTTATCATCTTGTTCTTTGAAATTCTGTGTTATTTCCAATGTTTTTAAAATTATTTTTATTCTCTCTAAAATAAAAAATAAACAATGGTCCTAACAATCTCCATCAGGTTTTTTAAAATAGTAGTTAATGGGTAGAATTCTCACCCTGACTAACTCCATGCTGATATCTGTGAACTAAGAAACTACACTGAGGATAGCAATGTGTAATACTAAAATCATGCTTGTAATACCTGTCATTTTGGTCTTCTAAATGCGTACTGTTTCTAATGTTATATCAATTATTGCTATACTCTCTTTAAAGTAAATGTATGTTAAAAAAAAAAGGTAATAAAAAACAAGAGACAACAAAAAAAGTCATAGGATTATCCTGCTGCAATGTTGTATATGGTTTGATTTCTAAATTTCTGTGTAAAAATGTGCAATTTTTTCATATTCTATAGCAATTTACATTTTAGAATATCCATGGTTGTTGGAAAATAGAAGTTCCATGTTATGTCTAAAGTGTTTGATACTCAGACAGATAGTGATGTTAAGCCCAACTGCCTCTGTTACAGGGTAATAATATCATTAATCTTCTCTTCTGGATGTTTAACAACTAAAGTTTGCAGACCAAAAATTGGAGAAATAGAGGACCTATAAGGATAGCCAACATTTTGGCCCTAGCCCTTCAAAGTCAGTGAGAACTCAGGACATAAGAGAACTTGTGCTGTGACATCCTGTAACTCAGTGATGTCCCAAATTTTCTGATCAAGGAGATTATGGGGCCACAGAGGAAAGTGATCGGTGATGTATAGTGTGCCTAAGGAAAGTTACCTAGAAAGAAAAAATTCTCTCAGGCTTTCACAGACAGCAAATTGGTCAAGCAATGGCCGTGACTCATCTAGATGGCTGACACTGACAGAAGATCTACAAGGTGCTGTACGTGGTTCCAGGGTAAATCCTGAGGGGATTTGACTGACCTTGTCAGATACAAACGTTACATTTCTAGTTATATAGGTCTTGCTTTATCTTGGTCTTAACCATCCAGCAGAAATGTATAACCACAAGGTATTAAAAATAATGCCATATTAATATGCTGAGCTATAAAAGGCTTAAGTCAACAACTTCTGACAATTGCCAGTTCTGCCGATAATCCACTACTATTATTGGACTATATTGGGTTATTTTGCTGAATTCAAGTACCTACAATATTTAAACTGCCATCAAGTATGAAAAGGTCCTTTAAAGACTTCTCCAAATACAGCTTCTCTAACTGCAGTGGAACACCCATCTCTGACAAAACAAAGCAAAAAACAGGGATGTGTTGGGAGTCACGAAGCTAGGAAATTGATCAAATATATGTAGGTGGGACTCAGCCCAGTGCCTAAAGCAAACAAGCTACCTCACTCCTGAGATGAACGTCCTGTCTGGCTAAGGTTAGCTATCAGTCACTAGGCAACCTAGTGTTATGTGTTACTAACTTCACAAAAGTGTAAATAAAGGACTGTTTTGTTGTGAGAAAAAAAATATATGTATACACAAGAGAGGTAGGATAGCTAAACAGCTACTTTCTCTAAGTTCATTGAGAATAAAGGCCTGTACTACTATTGTTTAGACAAGATATCATGTCTGCATCTTGACCTCTGAATAACTACTACGAAGACAACAATATGCAATGTATTAATTATTGTAACTGTCCTACTAACCTGTTTTGAAACTGTTTCAGTATTGTTTTACCTTTTTTCTCATTCAAATGAATTTTTAAAAATTTTAAAAATAAAATAGAAAATAAAAACATCAAAAAACAAAACAAAACAAAACAAACAGAAAAACCCATTTTCTGCATCAGCTATCGTGCCCTCCTCAGTCCACCTGATCTCCAACACATGAGAAAGACAGACTCTATCATAGGAACTGGCTGACCAAGTTCTCCCTCCACCAGTAAGTGATGCAGTTTAGTTGGCATTGCAGCCAGCTCTTCAGATCCACAGCTTCTGACAATGAGGAATAGAAGGGTAGAACAGGACCAGAGTGGGTGACACTGGCTCACCTCTCAGGAGTACTTATCTGGGCCACAGCTTGACTCCAGAGTCAAGCACACGGAGGCTTCCCCCACACCCCATGCCACTGTCCATTGTGGCTGTGCCTCTGTGTGGGCAGGGCTGCACCAGCCCAGCTCTGGAGTCAGGCCGCATTCTGAATCTCACAGCACGAAATCATGAGCAAAGCTATCTTCAGATTCAGCTTCCACATGGAGATAACAACAGTAGTAGCCAGTTTAGGGGTTAAATTATATACCACATGCAAAACAAGTTAAAATAATTCAATAAATGAAAAATCACAGAAGGATTTGGGTGAAAAATGGAGAATGCCTCATTTCCAGCATCATGGAAGTTTCTGCTCCTGAACAACTCCCAGGAGAAGGTGTGGTTTTCAACACAGGGGTGGAAGGCATAGACCATTATGATTCCAGACTTAAAGGAACAATTTGGGCACACAGCTCACCATGAAGAAGTGGGGGCGAGTAAGCTGACTCAGACGTGGAATGTTGTCTGTCGTCACTGAGTTAATTCTGGAACACCAGGCTAGTGAGAAAATCCAAGGCTCATTGACAAGATATAAATTGATATAGATGTTAGCTTCTTTATAATCCCTGGAACAAAAACAGAGTCCCCAGGGGATTTAGACCGAGTTTGCTCTCAACATCTACAAGAGGAATAGCCACCATGTTTATGACTAGATCATCAGAAAGAACTGATCCAGGGACATTTTATAATTCACAGTGACAGAAAGGGCTCATGCTATGAGACAAAGGATTGGATCGATCTAGTACCTTTGCTTCAGTAGCAACAATGGTGAGATGGACTTTAATGAAAGAGAAGAAGAGAGATGAAGAAGAGAGAAAGGAAGAGAAGTAAAGGACAGAAAGGGGAGAGAGGGAGGGAAAGAGAGAGAGAGGGAGGAAGAAAAGAAGGAGGAAGGAAGGAAGAACAGAAGGAAGGAGAAAAAGAAAGAGGGGTGGGTCCTATTTGTAGCATTTGAAAATTTCCAAGTCAACTTCAAGCTACTGTTGGGAAAGGCCATTTGCACAATCCCTGACTCTCAACGTGGTAGCTGGCTTCCTCTGCATGTACCGCAGCACCCGCCCTCACCTGCATCCCAGCGCTCAGCGCCTTTTAACCATCTGCTCCCCATCACTGTTCTCATACTTGACAATAAGTAACTTAAGAAGTTATGTCTTTCTCAACTCTTATATATACAGGCTTAGTACAAGATATTAGTTGAATGTACAAAATAAATACCAATCTAGTGAACATTTAAAATTTCAAGTATGAAGAATTTTTATAAGAGTTGAGTCAGGTGAGTGAAACTCAATTTTTTCCAATGCTGTAGTACAGGAAGAAAATACGTGAAGGAACACATAGAGTAATTTTGGTCAAGTTGCTAATTTCAGGGATTCAATTCTCACAAAAAATGCCATGTAAGTACTTTCAATAGTTTTAATCCCAACAAGGTATGACATGTTGGAAAAGGCTCTGCCATACACTAGTGTGGATGCTCTTAGCCTCAGTTTATAAACTTGGGAATAACAATATCTCCTTTATAGGGAATGGTAACGATTACTCAGTGTGTAAGAATTGCGTCTAATATAATTCTAAGGAACACTTGATAACAAATGAAAAATTAGGAAACAGAGACAATAGTAAAATTTACTTCTTTGCACCTTTTGAAGCCAAAACTCAAAACTCAAATATATATATGTATCTATATCTATCTATCTATCTATCTATCTATCTATCTATCTATATATGGAATATGTAGACATTTAAGAATTTAAAAAAAAGAAATGCTGGTGAGGCTTCAGTGAAAAGGGAACTCTTCTACATTCTCAGTGGGAATGTGAAGCAGTACAACCACCATGGAAATCAGGCTGGAGAGTCCTCAAAACGTGGAAACCCTACATTCTATTCAACCCAGCTATTTTCCTTCTAAGTATTTGTAAGAAAGTTAAAGATATACTACAGTGATACCTGTACACCCACATTTGTAGCAGCATAATTTGTAACAGCTAAATCTCGCAAGGGGCCTGCATGCTCCTCAATAGATGGAAGGATAAAGAGAATGTGGCATTTCCATACAATGGAGTAACACTCTGCAATAAAGACCAACTTGAGTATGTGTAGGAAAATGGATTTCTTATACAAGAAACCCAAAATACAAATAAGTTATAAAGCAAAATAAAAAAATAGCTGGAAATAGGGTGATAAAACTTTTTGCATAGAAGAACCAAGGTATGGATGGAGAAGGACTGAAAGAAGAAGGGGACGAATGAAAAGAAATAAGATGTGTCATATCGTGTACCACCTCCTCACAATAAATGTAATCACTATGCGCAGGAAATCTGTACTAATGAAAGTTTTAAAGTGTGTTTTATGATGAGAAATTATAGCACAAAAGAGGAAGAGCTCAAGTCTATTTTCTTGGGAGTTGATAGTCTATACTTGGTGACGCTCGTTAGTAGAGGAAAGGATGGAGAGGCAGGAAGGAGAACATAGAGGAACTAAAAAAGACAATCACATTAAAAAAAAACCTTAAAATGAAAAAGGGTAACTAAATAGCTTAGAGTATATTAGGGTTATGAAAAGAGGTAACTAAATAGCTTAAAGTATACAAAATACTGTATATTTTGTACCAGTCAGGCAATACAGGCCAAGAGAGGTATGGTTACTTACTTCAGTCCATTGTAGAATAACCTCTTGTAGTCAACATTTATTATACTGATATTTTCTCTGGTAAGGTATTCAATAGAGAATAAACGGCCTACGTGCTGAAAACCAGGGGCCATGTACCTGACATAATCCCTATCATGACCTGGTAACCAAAAAATCTGTAAGGAGAAACATGATAATTAGCTATCTAAGTATAAATAGGCCCATAGAGAACGGATAAATCTCCACTGGAGCACTAGGAGTAGTCTATAAGAGGCAGAGGAAGAGTTTAGCCCTTGGCGAAACAGTCTATTGTATCTTTTTTTTTTTTTTTTTTTTTTGGTGGGACCAGGGATTGAACTCAGAACCTTGCAGTTGCCAGGCAAGCACTTATTCCACTGACTGAACTATCTTCCCAGCCCTGAAACAGTCAGTCTAGCCTAATATTGTCTCATGAACTCCTAAGATGAGACCAGAGTTTTCTTGAAGCTGAATTTTCCTGGGGCCTTTCTATTCAGTTCACCTTATAGGTAAGAGCTCAGAGTGTTAAGAAAGCTTAATATTTAAAAAGTGGATGAGGGTTGGTGATAAAATATAGTGGTGGTGGGGCCGGGGAGATGGCTCAGTGGAAAAAGTGCTTCCCTGGCAAGTGCAAAGGCCTGAGTTCAATCCCCAGTCCCGCAAAAAAAAGTAAGTAAGTAAGTAAATAAATAAATAAATAAAATATAGTGATAGAGCATAAAAAACTTGATAAGGATAAAGGATGGAGATAAAAAAAAAATTCTGCTTAGTGCTAAAAATAATCTTAAAGGGGCCGGGGAGATGGCTCAGTAGAATAAGCACTTACCTGGCAAGCACAAGGGCCTGAGTTCAATCCCCGGTTCCACCAAAAATAAATAAATAAATAAAAATAATCTTTAAAATGAGTCACAGGGCAACTAGGGTTGCTAATATGTTATTAATCATTTGAGGAAATATTTCCATTTGGTAAATGGATATATTTATTTGTTCACCCCGGCACTCTTATATTCTGACAAATTAAGTAATTTGGAACAACTGCCAATTCAAATGTAATAAAGGTTCTGAACAGATCTTTAATAGAACCAGTTGTCTTTCCATATCATTCATCACAGCTAATCCTCAAAACTTTTGTTACTCCACTAGATCTACGTTGGTGGTGGCACAGGTCGTGTTACATAAGAAGTATATAGGTTCCGTTTCAACAAAGCATCGATATTTCTCTTGGTGAACAGCAAACAATCTCAACATTCTTTCCCACTGAGATAATTCAAATAGCCGCATGTGGGTGTATACAAAATAATCTTGTAGCTGAGTGTTGTGGCACCTGCCAATAATCTCAGTACACAGGACGCTGAGGCAGGATTGCCAGGACTTTGAGGCCAACCCAGGCTACATAGTGAGCTCAAAGCAGCCTGACCTCCATAGTGAGACCCTGTCTTAAACATATATGTATAATCTTAATTCCCATAGAAAACAAAATTATTTAAGGATCCCAGCAAATACTGAAAAATTCAGTGACTGTCTTTCTGGGATACCTTACCCACACTTCCCAATCTCAACCATAAATACTAAGACAGACATACCAGACGTTGTTCAATTTTTGAAGCAAGGATCACGCTCACTACCTGACGCACATATGTGTTTCTGAGAGGATGTTGTCGTGGAGGACCGAAAAGATCAAATATCACAAATTTTTTTTCCTTCTTTGCAAGTTTCAATAAATCAGCTAGTTGTGGAATTGACTGGTTCCTTGCTCGTTTTTTATCAGCCTCTGACAGAGGTTTCATATTGAAAAATGGTCTGGTCTAAAAATCAATACATAAAGAAAAACATTGATTTCCATCAGATAGTTCTGCTTTGTAGCCCTGTAAAGCTCCACCTCTGCTTTGTTCCATTACTACTCCTCCCTCAGGCCCCCTAAAATACTAGTTCTGAGATAAGAATTGCCAAGGAGAGAAGAAAATGTAACATCCATTGGTGACTATGGTGACTCAAGTGATTTCCTCCCTGCCCTAGGACTTCTTACACTTGTACTGAAGGCCTCCACTGTTCTTATCTTGGTCTTCTTTCATTACCTTCCTTTGTGGTCTGTAATTCAGACTAATACATCCCTTTCTGTCACACTGTCTTCATGCATGTGTTCTCACTGCTTTAGTTTTGTGTAGTGAAAAGGATATATGTTTTTTTTGGTGGAACCGGGGATTGAACTCAGGCCTTTGTGTGTGCCAGGGAAGCGCTTATTCCACTGAGCCATCTCCCCAACCAAGGATATATGTTTTGACTTTCAAATAAAATAGATTCAATCTTACTTATACTCCTCCCTTCCTTGTCTTCTTTGCCAAAAGCCACCTGCTGAAATCCTACTCTCAAATGCTACTTCCTTCGTGATGCTTTCCTTAAGTACTCCTGAGCTAGAGTCCAGTGGACTCTGAGTCTTGATGGCCCGTTTTTATGCCTCTGTGGGTGTATGTCTCATTCCAACTTACATAGTTATTTGTCCAATTCTTAAGCCATAGTTTAAATCCTGGCTCCCTGTGATTCTTACTGTAAAACCTTGATGCAATGATTTATATTTTTAGTCTTGATCATTTACTCCATCAGAGTAGAAGCGTAATCCATGTACCCCTCAGAGCTAGGTTGAAAGCTGAGTATTAGGAAGTATTTACAGTGCTTAGGAGCATGATTCATGCACAGAAAATTATGTGATTTATTCATTCTCTATTGATTCTCACTGGAGTAAAAAATCTCTCCTGGCAGGAACTGCTATGTGCTCACTGTAATGCAAAACACTTCATCTTCCACATGGTGGGCACCACAGATGTTATATTAAATTGCATAGATGTCTACTCTGTCACCACTTGCCAGTTTTAGATCATTTGTACGTGAAGCAAGGGATAAAAATCTCTGCCAGGAAGGCTGGGGAGATAGCCCACAATCTAAGTACCTGCCTGGCAAGCATAAGGACTCGGGTTTGATCCCTGGTACCAGCCAGGCATGGTGGTGCACACCTGCAATCCCAGGGCTGGAGAGGCTGAGACAGGAGGATCACTATGAGTCTGAGTTGTGTCACAAGACCCTGTACCAAATGAATAAATAAACAAACAAACAAATAAATGATTTTTAAAAAATCTCTGCCAGGAGAAGGAAGCAGTAGCTACCCCACATTTTCATAAGATTCAGTAATTTCTCACTTTCTCTGTGCAGCATCCTCACACTCTCAGCCTGTCTCCATTTCCTCTCCTTCCCCTGCCTTCTTCGTTGAGCTACCTTTTCTCACATATGTCGCCAGCACCCTCCACCAAGCTTGCTAGACCAGGCCTGCTCAGTGGACTCCACAGGTGAGAGGCTTTCCTTACCATGGCCTTCTGCCATATGTCTTCCTTGGAGCCAGCCAACCTGAAATGTCTGAAGCTGAACCAAAAGAACCCTTTTCTCCTTCACACTGTGTTCATGGGTGCTTTGTTATAGCAACAGAAATACAACTAACTGAAAGTTGTTCAAAGAGATGTAGGATAGTTGCTGTCAGTGTACCTGATCTGTGGTTTGGATGTGTGAAAAGCGACTAGAGAATTAGACTAAAGAAACCCTAGAAGGCTCTAAGGAGACACTGGTGGGTGATTCTGTTGGGTTCAGGTGTCCAGAATATTTAGAGGAATGTGGAAAATGAAAACCGGTCTCATGAAGTTTCATATGGGAATGAAAATTCTCCTGGGAAGTGGATTACAGGGTATTCATGTTCCATTCTGGCAAAGAATTTGTCTACATTTCGTCCACATCCTAAGACTTCATATGACTCCGAATTGAAAGGCATTAAGCATACTGTTGGCTTCATTTAGCCATGTCCACAGTGAGAAGTAGAAACAAAAGGCCTGAGATACTTGGAAAACTTTCAGTTTGGCCCGAAAATGAGTTTGTACAAATCTGGGCACCAAGATGTTGTAGTGGCTGAAGAAATTAACATGATTAAAAGCCAGCTAGGCAGATAGCATGCCCTAATAATCCTAGCAGTCTGGGAAGCTGAGGCAGAAAGAGAACAAGGTCACGTCTATCCTGGGCAACTTAGTGACTTAGCAAAACTCTGCTTAAAAAAATAAGTAAATAAAAAATTGGCTGAAGACAGAGCTCAGGATAAAAGCCCTAGGTTCACTCCCTGGTACCACTAAAATAAAACAAACAAAGAAAAACAGAGACCCAAGTACTCTGTCCCAGAACAACAGAAAGACATGCATTAATGGCACCTTAAGAACTGGCCCCATGTTCAAAGTCCTACAGAAAACTGGAATAGAAGGCCTCTACTTCAATTTTATAAAAGCCATCTATGACACCCCAATGGCTAATATAATTCTAAATGGGGAAAAACTGGAATCTTTTACTCTCAGAGCTGGTACAAGACAAGGATGTCCTCTATCACCACTCCTATTCAATATAGTTTTGAAATCATTAGCTAGAGCCATTAGACAAGAGGGAGAAATAAAAGGAATAAGAATAGGTAAAGAAGAAGTTAAATTATCATTATTTGCAGATGACATGATACTTTACTTGGAAGACCCAAAAAACTCCACCAAGAAGCTACTAGAATTGATACAGAAATTCGGTAGCATAGCAGGATACAAAGTCAATACTCAAAAGTCAATAGCATTCCTCTACACAGATAACAAACACACTGAGAGAGAAATTAGAGAATCAATACCTTTTACAATAGCACCACGGAAAATGAAATACCTTGGAATTCACTCAACCAAAGAAGTCAAAGATCTTTTCATGGAAAATTACAGTACTCTGAAAAAAGAGATCATAGAGGATTTCAGAAAATGGAAAGATATTCCATGCTCCTGAATAGGAAGAACCAACATAGTGAAGATGGCCATACTCCCAAAATTGTTGTACAGATTTAATGAAATCCTTATTAAACTACCACCAATGTACCTCCCACACCTAGAGAAATCATTCCTAAAATTTATTTGGAATCAGAAAAGATGTAGAATAGCAAAGGCAATCCTGGCCAACAAAGACAAGCAGGAGGCTTTACAATTCCTGACTTGAAATTATACTACAAAGCTACTGTAACAAAATCAACATGGTATTGGCAACAAAATAGACCCGAGGATCAATGGTATAGATTAGAAGATGCAGAGGCTGCTACAAACACACTCAGCCACCTGATCTTCAACAAAGGGGCCAAACATGCCTACTGGAAGAAAGATAGCCTCTTTAACAAATGGTGCTGGAAAATCTGGCTCTCTACATGCCGAAAACTGAAACCTGACCCAGGTCTATCACCATGCACTAAACTAAAGTCAAAATGGATTAAAGATCTAAACATTAGAACAGAAACATTAAATCTCCTGGAACAGAAAGTAGGAGGAACTCTTGAAGACATAGGGGTAGGCAAAGAGTTCATGAACAGAAATCAAATTGCACAGGTAACACTTGAAAGAATTAACAACTGGGACCTGCTCTTATTGAGAAGTTTTTGCACGTAAAAAGAAATTACCAACAAAGTGAAAAGACAACCCACAAATTTCAAAAAAATCTTGACTAATAAGCACTCAGACAAAAGCCTACTCTCTAGAATTTATAAAGAACTAAAAAACATTATGGCCCCAAAATTTAAAGACCCAATCCAGATATGGGCATCTGAGATGAACACACACTTCTCAGAGGATGAAATTAAAGCAGTGAATAAATATATGAAAAAATGCTCCACATAACTAGCCATCCATGAAATGCAAATTAAAACAACACTGAGATACCATCTCACCCCAGAAAGAATGGCTGTCATAAGCAAATCAACCAACAACAAATGTTGGCGAGGCTGTGGGGAAAAGGGAACCCTTCTCCACTGCTGGTAGGAATGTAAACTGGTGCAACCATTATGGAAATCAGTGTGGAGACTCTTTAAGAAACTAGGACTGAAAATCACATTCAAGCCAGCTATCGCCCTACTGGGAATTTTCCCGGAGGAAATGAAAACATCATATCATAGTGATATATGTGCACCTATGTTTATAGTAGCACAATTTGTGGTAGCCAAATCTTGGAAACAACCAAGATGGCCATCACATGAGGAATGGTTGAAAAAGATGTGGTATTTTTATACAATGGAGTATTACTCAGCTATAAAGAATGATAAACTTGAAGCCTTTACATTTAAGTGGATGCCACTTGAAGATATACTCATAAGTGAAATAAACCAGACACACATGTGTAAATATCGTATAGTCTCCCTAGTATAAGAAATCAAAAGAAGAAATACAAATAGAAAGGTATAACACAACTAAAAGGAAAGCAAGAACTTGAGGATTGGATGAGGAGAGGGTAGGGAGAAAAGCTGGGAAATAGGACAGGGACAAAGCCATACACTTGTGCACACAAGATGGGCAAGTCAATGATCCTGAGAAACATTAACAGGCTTTTGAAATTAGCAGTTAATTGGTAGGATTCTCACCCTGACTAACTATATATGCTGATACCTGTGAACCAAGAAACTGCACTGAAGATAGCAATGTGTAATAGAAGGGTCACGCTTGGAATGCTTGCATTCTGGTCTTCTAAATACATACTTCTTGTCAAGACATACCAATTATTACCATACTGTCTCACAAGTAAAGACACAAGAAAAAAAATTGTCACAGAACTGTCCTGCTACAATGCTGTATATGGTTAGATTTCTAAATTTCTGTGTAAAAGTATGTGTTTATTCCTATTTTAAAATTTCTTTTTCTTCATATTCTGTAAAGACTTAAAGTTCAACACATCAATACTTGACGGAAAATACCTGTTCCACTTATGCCTAAGATGTTTG